GCTCGTTTTGTCACTAGCATGCTTCAAACGATTTATGAAAACTTTTGGAGCAGTAACAAGATGGAACAAAGCAATTCTGCTTTATAATCTATGTTAAAGCGGGGATATAAATGAAGACGAACCCGGTGAACTGCATTGGCACTTTCCCTGTTACGTTTAACTTCTGTGTTAATTACAGAAGAGCCTCTACATTCCAGCCAGGTAATTCCTTCCTCATGAGTGCAATCCATGTTTTCCAGTGGTCTGTCAGTCATAAAGATGACACTGGATGCTTCAGATATGCTGGTGAATTAGGTATTCTTGTTGGCATAGGAGAAATAGACTTAAAAATATCAAAGGGTAAAACTGGCACAACGTGAAGGACTGTGGGGGAAACAGGGTTACTAGGTTTTGCCCTTAGAATTTGCAAGAATTTTGTGATTCTCTGTGTTTCTATATTTTCCTTCCTGTTTGTCATGTTCACCTCTGCTTGTTACCAAATCTGCAGCAGCTGTTTTTCCGTTTCCTTCTAACAAAAAAAAGAGGCACAATGCACAAATGCAAATTTAAGAGATATCCTGATATATTTAAGCTGCCCCCATTTGCCATCAGCTATTACAGCCAGGATTTCCATAGAAACACTAATAAAGAAATCTTGAGCCAATTACAATAACTACAGAGCAGTGCTGCCATGTAGACTGAGTACTTATCCTGGGAGTCTGTCTCTAGGTCATTCTTTGCTTTATAAGCACAAAAAACCAAAATATAAGATGTATCACCATGAGGTGTCTTTCTTGATTCAGCACTTTAAAAAACAGCTCATATTTTTCCAAGCAAAAGTTACAGCATTATAGCTATAATAGCATTATCACAGCAGTGAAATTAAGTTAATGGACTAAAAATGAAAGAATTAAGATTAAAGGAAGACTCTTTTAAAAAGAACCAGTTAAAAATTACCCTGTGTGAGATATTTTTATCCTTGCTTTTCTTGTTTCTTATATATTGCTTGCTGATATCTAGCCATATTTCTTATTTAATTTTGTTATATTTTAATTTCTTTATGAAGTTACAGGATGCTTGGTGTGAAGATAAATGAGATGGTCCTTTTATTAAGGAACATCAAAGCTGAGACCTTTGAACATTTATACACATAGTCTCAAAGTTAAGGATATTGAGTTCTAAAATGGACATTTACTTAAGTCTTTTTGTGATGAGGTTGTGGTTTGGACATGATCCAAACAAGCTGAAATCCAAGTAATCTTGTCCAGATAATTTAGGATTCCCTGCTGGATCTGAGAATTTCCTTCCTGTCTGATTTCTGTCTGTTCTCACCCAGATTTACTTTTAAACAGTACTCATTAAAAGTCAGGCAAAAGCTGTAAACACAAATCCTGCAAACAATCTTGTGTGTGACAACTTCACTGTAGTTAGTAGCTATATTCTTACCATGTTAGAATTGTAAGAGCAGGCCTAAGATCTTTCTGCCTTGGGACCCAAATTAATTTTGCCATGAAGGGTAAATGGCTAAAGAAGTATTAAGAAGAAAGGGTGAAAACATTGGTGATGGACTTGTGATTGCCTGGCATAACTGACACAATTGTTTCCTGTTTTACACCTGGTCCAAGGATTATTTAAGAGTACTTGAAAGAGAACTGCAAGACAAAGTGTTACAATTCCTTCCTTATTTAATTAATGTTCTCAAATGTTAAACAGAGGCATTGCATTTCAGTATATAACTGGATAGATTTGATTTCTTGTGTTGAAGAACTTTCAAAACACCCAAAGGAGAAGAAATTGTCTGTTTCTTTGAAAAAGGGGTGGGGAGAAAGGCAAACAATCTATGAAACAAACTTGAAATAAAATATGGCAGTCACATACTGGCTTATCCAGCAGAGGGAGTAGTTTACCAATGTTGGGAATGGCTTTGGGAATCTGCCCATAGGAAAATTTGTGATGAAAAACCATTTTAGTGTTTATTATTTAAAACATTGCAGGCCATGAATTACAGTGATAAGTGGTGCATTTATATTTTTTAAACATAGTCAACCACAGCCACACCTGGCAAATTCCATTTCTGTTAAGAGGATTGAAAAGATGCCTATGTTGGAATTGGTGTGTTGACTAGTGTTGTAAATATTCAGGTGTCTAAACTGAAGACAATGGCCTTTAATTTTGTCTTCATCTTTTCATATTGGTCTTGACTTTGATTCATGGAAACACAGAAGAGTTTGGGTTGGAAGGAACCTTCAAAGAACATTTAGTGCAACCACCCTGCCATGAGCAGGGACACCTTTCTTTCCCTTGATCAGCTTGCTCAAAATACTGCCCAGCCTGGCTCTGAACACTTCCAATAATGGGGCATCCCAACAGCTTCTGTTCAACTGCCTTCAGAGATCCCTTCCAATTTCCATTATTGTCTGCTTCTGTCCCTGCACATGGACTGATTAGAGCATGGATGGCCTGTTGGGCTGCTCCCTCTCTGGACCTGCCTGCCCTGCTCTCTGCCCCTGCAGGCAAGGGGCAGCTTGACAGCAGCTTGCCTTTTTTGCCTCTGTGCCATCCGTGGCTTTTGCTCTTTGTCCACAGCATGGCTTTGATTTAGAGCCTGCCTCTTTTTCTTTGTCCTGTCATCTTGCTTCCTGAAAAGAATTCAAGTACAAACTCCCCATTAATTTAACAGCAAGAGGTCATATCTTGAAAGTAATATTGGATGCCATGTTTTGACACTTTTACCAGGCACAAGAACTTTTTGTTTATAATTTCCAATAAATATTCACTTAAATAATTGCAATTTGCCCATATACATTAATATACTTTGAATGTTCTTGCTGTATGTGAGCTGAAAGTCCAAAAGTAAATGATCCATGTCCTTTAGCTGATAGGTAAAGATAGCCAAAGGACAAATGAGAAAAAACGGTTCATTGGTTATTGTGCATTGTTACTAAAAGATAATGTAAAATTGTATAAGAAAACAATCCTGAAAAGCAAATATTTTTTAGCTGCATTTTGTTTTCAGTGTTAGTTACAAGATCAATTTTTGCCCATTCACCATATTGTTTACCTCATAGTATTAGACTTGCTTTAGATTCCATTTCTTATTAAGTAATTAAAATTATCCAATCTTATATACATTCTTTAAAATGCACATTAAAAGCAATTAAATTCTTTGTAGGAATTGCTAAAGAAATGCCACTTATTTTACTATCCTAAACTCAGTTCTTAGGAGTCTACCCATGTAATTATGCTGATACATGCAATATTACCTTTAAAAATTGACTGAAAGGTAACTGATAAAAAGACATGCCTCTATTTTGCATTGCTTTAAAAGATTCTGGTAAACTGTTGTTTATTGTTAACAGCTTCATAACCAGATGGTACTTTGCTGTAAATACAAGGAATTAATTTGCAGTTTCTTTTTGCAGTGCTGCTCTGTGGTGTATTTATTGCTCATCCAGAAGATCCACTGACATTTTTAGAAGAAAAGCTCAGAGAAATAAAGGCAAAGGGATTAGATACTTTCTTATGATACATAAGATACTTTCTTATGATACATACTGAATTATTCTCTGTGTGTGTGTGTGGTTTATAATATTGCACTTGGACTTTTAAAATATGCTAATGGTACAGCATCTTCTGTGTAGACTGCAACTTAAATAAGAATACTGCCTTTTGCAAATATTGATGGCATATGATATTGCAAAAACAGTAAGATAATATCTCTAAAAATATAGAATACATTTTATTTTTATATCCATGGGTTTGGGGGGTGTTTGGGGTTTTTGTTTGTGGCTTTTTTTCTACAGAATATTTAATGAATATACCCTCCACTTAATGCTCCTCTTTGATTAGTTGATATATTAAACCCTTACTTTTGTGGTAATCAAAACTGAGGTGATGTTAATTGTTTTAACTTCATTGCTGTCCACAGCACATTTACCTGTATGAACCAGGGATGTGTCTTTCAAGCATCATTAAGTGAGGTATTTCTCATTTTTTTTCTGTTCTCTGTATGTTCTTTCACCCTGTGAAATGAGCACAGCCTGAGATAAAAAAAAATTAGGATTTCGTTTTGTTTATACTGGAATCTTAGAAAATGTGATATTTCTTGCTTTAATATTCTCTGCAATTTTCTGATTGAAGTTTTCAATGGTGTGTGAGTAATAAATCCTTAATCTTCTAAACAATTGAGTCAGTAAGCTGGCATGCAGTGTGACTGGATTTTTCTCTTGATTATCTCTGTATAACTGTACTGAATTTTGTCTTCTGTTAGTACATCTGTCCTGAGTTCACAGCAATTACATTTCAGCTGTTTCCTCTTTTGCTGACTATTCAGTTAGAATTCAGATCAGTCCAGAAGTGGAATGCTTGATTTATACAGTACACATATACAAATACAATCCTGTTGCAGTCAAATCCTCTCATAGATTTTCTTAGGAGTAAGAGCAATACATGAGATAAACCCAGTGTTTTCTGAGGCCCATTGCTTTTTGTACTTTCAAAGGATCATATTTTCTTTTACAGTGATATTTTTAGCCCATAGTCTTACACAGTTTTGGTTTTGTAGAAATTCAGACAGGTTTATTAAAATACCAGTTAGAATCGTGGTAAATAGCCGACATAACAATGGGTCACAAAACAATTTTAGCAAAGAGTAACTCAAATATTTAGTATCTTAAATAGCTGAATACAACTGATTAATAAAAGAGTGAACATGAGGGATGAAAGCCTGAATTTAAGTTATTGAGCTTTCCTTCAAGGACAGAAATTAGTTCTGGTTTGTATGCTTATTTAACTTCTCTGTGTAAAAACAGTAGTGTCATTTGGTAGTGAAGTACTTCTAACTATACACAGAAAATTATACTTGAATGTTCATCACTTCAAATTAGATCCTTTAATTTGCATCAACATGGAAAAGACAAGATTTAATTTTTTTTGTGTGACTCAAAACATTTATAAAACAGCATTACTTTGTGTACTGCCATAAATTTTTTTTTAGATGACTAAAGAATTGTGTGACTTTTACAGCAGCAACTTAATGAAGCCTTATTTTGGGTAATTATATGTATTTTCACATACTTCAGGAACATCATAGGAAAAAATTTTTGCCAAAGTATTTATGTTGCTTCTTTGTGTGAGGAAAAAGTTTTCATGTTAAAACAACATAAAGTGAAATTACAAACTTAAATTTGGTATTAATTTCCTCTGATGTTATTCTGTGTTAAAACTCCTCAGTTCTGACTTTACTCCTGTTCCAAACCTGACTCTTCTGTCCTTTAATCAGCTCTATTTGTGAGATATATGGTTGTATACCCAGACATAAAAGGACAATTTTCATTTAAGTCTGAAAGTAAACAATCTGTTTTCTCTTATGCTCTTTCTTTGGTTTTCTGTGCTTGGGATAAGGAAGATCACACTTTATGTAATCCAAATTCTCCTTTGAAAAATGGGGATAGTACCTAGATATGTTTTAAAATATGACAATCACAATAAATAAGCACATCCACTGGTTTCTTTGTTATGTGTACAAAATTTCACGATCCTCCATTTAGAATTAGGTAAGGTGGGTTATTTTGTTTTGAAAAGCATTCAGTGCTTACTATATAGGAGGCACAACTCTGCTAGCAGCACTGGTGTAAATCCTTGCTAAGAACCACAGAGTGACAGAATTGGCAGGGAAGTGAATGTTTTCAAGCTGTGCTGTGGTTAACCTTGGTGCAGATTTGTCCAGGGTGTTTTTAGTCATTTTAAATATCACAGGTGTTGGAGAGACACCAATCTCAGCAGGCAGTATATTCCAGTACTTCACAATCCTTTCTACTACAAATATTTTCCTAACACAGTAGCCCTTCTTGCAAAAAAAAAAAAAAAACCACCAAAAACCCCAAACCCACCACCTTTTTTTTTTTTTAAATCTTATTGTCTTGTACAATAGGGACATGGAAGGTTATTTGTTTTTCCTTCAGTGCAGCCTTTCTCAGATTGTCTCAGCCTAGAGTTTTGCTAATTATCACATACATTGGACTGGAACAGAACATGTTCCATTTATAATCTCTCTCAAGATTTTTTTTTTTTTTAATATGATACGAGGGAGGTTTTGGCAAATAAACATAGCAATGGAAAGTATTATTCATTCAGCAAGCCAGATACAGAGAGATACTGAATTTTAATATATCAGTGATATATGACTCATTTGAAATACATTTTTGTTCTGAATCTAATTATTTCTTATTGCTTAGCCTGGAAGGAAAATGGGACTTCTACCAAAGGTTAAAATTGGTAAGATATAAATTGAATTTGCATTGGGGTTTTTTGTATTGCCAAGGAGATATGAATAACATCTAAGTAAATGCATGTATCTAGCACTTTTAAATTATTTTCTATTACCACTCAAATGTCCTCCCATAAATACAGATCTGTACTGTAGTGAAGTACAGATGACAGTAACAGGACTTTATGGCAGTGGAAGCAAGCAAATTTTTATTGCTCAATACTTCAGAAAATTACAAACAAGTAGAAATTTTATTAAAATGAGTAGATGAATTGCTACTGAAAAAATATCATCAATGTGTATTTTATTTAAATTATGAATAATAAACATCAACTCTATTCAGAAGTTGATATTGTTGAGCTTGACTGCTTTGAATTTTACAGCAAATTGCAGAGTATTGTGGATTTTACTTCAGTTCAGAAACTGTAATAAATTACCCATTCTGTTTTACAGTTCAGAAGATGGATAAAATAAAATTTGCTGGAAAGGAATGAGAAAAAAGCTGGTGGAAGATGGCTCTACAATAAATCCATTATAATATCTAAATATTAAAATTTATTATACAGAAGTGGAACATGTGTGTGGAGACCGACAAGGAAAAAAAGACATGTAAGGCTAGGTAGCTGTTCTGCATTGGAGAAAAAACACATAGTGTATAATCTAAAGTTATGCTGTCTAAATTAAATGTTCTTGGTCCAACAATTTACCTAGCTGTTTTTTTGCAGGTTGAGCTGTGACAACTTAATGCCATGAGTGCCTGGAGAGTCAGGTCCCTGTGTTCTGTGCTAGGACAGGTGGTGCTGGTTCCCTTCTCCCCAGACTGAGCAGTGATGCTGGCTGGGAGGTGTTAGGGAAATGGGATGTATGTCAGAAGTATGGGGTGGAAAGAGTTGGGATGCTTTTCTGGGAGGTGAAGAGTGCAGTGATAGGGTTAAAACAGGAGGGATCACAGACTTGGAGTCTTAGCTTTGATTAGATGGAATGCATGATGAGAGGTGAGGATGGTGGGAAAATCGAATTAAGAAAGTCAGAAGACAAACTGGTATCTTAAAATACTTAAAATTTTAGTCTGACTAGATTGGGCTGGCTAAAGATGCCCTGTTTCTGGAATGTATCAGGGCATTCTCAGGGAATAATAGTCTCAAATTCTGTCCATTCTTAATAGCAGTTGCACTGATTGGTTTTCCATGATTAAGTTAGAATGCGTATAACTGAGTAATTTTTTAATTGTATACATTTATATTGTGTACCCTTTTGTAGACATTTTGGATCAACAAGTCACCTAAATGCACATTTCTGGTACGATTCAGCATGCCCTGGGATATGTGCTGGGAACTAGGGCTGTGGAACTTTGGCACAAGCTACAAAACTACAAAATAATGGCTTTATTTATGTGTAAAGTGCAGAGGGAGCAAAAATTATTACAGAAAAGCAGAAAGCCTACCAAAATGCTTCCATTTTTTATTTAAAATATTGCAGCTCCCTTGATCCAGAGAGAATTGTAAATCTGTGTGGTTGTCACCTGTGTGGTTTCTTTTTCTTGTCACTATTTTATTCAGGATGGGAAATGCAGAAAGAGCTCTTCTCTTCAGAAGACAGAGCAGAGGTTTGCTCTGGCTGAGTGCCTGACCATTTGCTGCAGAAAGGCAGAGCTCTTTCCCTCTTCCTTTGTCCCTCTGGGAATCCTCACGTTCTCTTTTTTGTGGACCCAGAATGCAGATACAGTCTCCTTCAACAGAAGATCATTATTGGGTGTTGTCTCCTCCAGGCCAAATGTGTTTGCTCTGAGCATTCACAGACTGTGGAAAATAAAGCATGCCTGGACTTTTCAAAGTTCTGGAACTTATGATTAGTGGCCTTTTTTGTCTCTGGCACTGTAGATGATGTTTGGTGATGGATCATTTCAAAATTACAGGGCCTTCAGTAAATACAATTATTAGCACACTATCATTTATTGCAGCTTTCTGTTCTGCTCCTGTGCCAAAAAATTGTGAGTTTTTACTTATGGCTGGACAAGATCTGTCCTCAGGGCCAGCTGGGAACCATTTACTTTGTAAATTGCAGTTTCCTAAAAAAGGTCAGTGGTACCACAGTATCCTGATGTTGAGTTATTGACAGAAAATGATTGCTGTGTTTTAAAGGTGGCTGCTGTGGTCTTGATACTGACATTTAAATTAGTGGAATTTTGAAGTCAAGGAAGTCATCCACATGTCCAAATTAAACAGACTTTTGGTTACAGAAGCCCATGATGGATCCAACTATATTTATCATGGATGCAGGTCTTTGAAAAGATGCACAAGAAGAATTTGCTATCAAAAAGGCCTACACATTTTTATACCTTAAAAAATCTTTGTAAACAGCAACTGCATTCTGAATCAGCTAAAAATCTCTAAAATTAGTGTGGCTATAGCAGTTCCAAAAATTCTGTGATAAGAACATAAAGCCAGAAAACCTGGAAGAAGTAAAGAGAGACAGCTTGTTGAACATACTTTGAGGAGCAGGCAAATTACCTGAATTGTATTACCAAAGCAATTAAATGCTGGTGGGAAAAGCCACATTATCAGTAATTTTCCTTCTGATTTTTCCATTTCTATCTAATGAATTTATGGTCTATGGATAATTGTGTAGCTAATATAAAAATACCTTCTATAAACCACAGTGGCATCTTTGCTGTTTTCAGGCTGATATATTACTGTTAACTTACATGTCTTAAATGCAAATTTCTTTGGAAATGTTTAAGAAAGAATTCTCTTCAGTGACAGGATATGGGATAAAATCAGAAAGTGTTTTTTTATTTTTGTTATCAGCCAGTTACCATATCAAGTTTAAACTGCTGCCATTAGTGTATTATTGTGCAGTTATAAAAGTAATTACACTAGAAGCATGAAGTTTTTCTCATATAAAAGTTGATGATGAAGGATGTTATTAAGTATGTTCCTTTCTGGTTTCTTTTTCACAGTTAGAATTGCAGATTTTAAGTGTTGCATATCAGATATTTCAGCATGTGATGGTGTAATTCAGTACTGCAAATGGTTGTGGATATGCAACATTTTAGCATGTAAACATGTAGAAAATATTATGCAGAAGTGACATCCATGTGTGTTATGTTTGAATCTTTGAGGTTGCTGTTCTTTTCATTGGCCTAGCTTTAAGGTATCAGTAAATGCTACCTTGCTAGGAGCCCTCTGGGCCTTCTCCAAATGGGCAGTCACAGGTCTCAGCCTTACTAACAGGGAATATGCTCCGGTTTCTTAGCTATCTTTTTGCCCATTGTTGGACTCTCTCCAGTGTACTGGGAAGCCCAGAACTGGACACAGTACTCCAGGTGTGGCCTCACTTGTGCTGAAGGGAAAAATCATCTTTCTGGATCTCCTGGCAGCACTCATGATGCAGCCCAAGATACCACTCATCTTCTTTTGGCAAGGGCACATCACAGGTTTGACCTGGTGTTTAGCAGGACATCCAGATCCTGTTCTGACAGCCTATGTTCAAGCTGGGCTGCCCCCAAAATATTCTGGTGCCTTAAGTTGTCCCTTCCCAGATGCCAAAATTTGCACTTCTTGAACTTCCTGTGAACCCCTTTCTCCAGCCTGTCAAGGTCGCTCAATGGCAGCACGGGCCTCTGGTCTATCAGACAGACACCTGCTCCAAGTTGTGTCTTCTGCAGCCCTGCTGAGAGTACACTCTGTCTCATTGTCCAGGTCATTAATGAAGATATTAAATAGGACTTGGCCCAATACTGACCCCTGGGCTTTACTGTTAGTTACTGGCCTCCAACAAGAAGCTCACCAACAAAAAAACCTAAAACAAACCCAAACTAAACAACAACATCAACAACAACAAACAAGCTAACCTCCCCCCTCCAAACTAACCGTGGTCCTAGGTTAATGTGATGTTCACAAATAATCAGTACTTGATTCTATTGCCAAATCAAGGTCCTTCTAGATGTAAAAAAGCATCTTAGTTCTTCCTCATTCTGTGCATGTAAGTACATGTGACTGAGGGTTTGGAGGTTAATTCCATTTGTGACAGCATTTTGCAATAGTTTCAGGTCGGTAATATCTTTCTCAATATGGTTGTGTGCTCCACTAAGCAGAGACGTGAGAGGAAAACTAAAAAGCCTTTGTGATCAGTGTGAGAGGTTTAGTCCTAGTGTGAAAGTATATTTGATTTGTTAGGAATCATCTGCATCCCAACTGTTACTCATCTGTCTTATCACGAAGAGTCTGAAAACATCTTGGAAGTGTTTTCATGAGAAGAAAACCTCCTCTGCTACAACTAGGCAAGACCCCAAACCTTTTTGATTCCTGGCACACTATTTCTGAAGCAGGAGAATGTTACTGATTGACTCTTTTCTAGCCTACACTTTAACTGAATTCAAATGCAAAAAAGGAAAGGAAAATGTTTTTTATTTTCAAAATAAAAAAGGGAGTTTTTATGTTTTAAGACTATAATGCATGCTATTATTTAATCAGATAATACATTATTGAAATTGTTGATACAGCCTATGGCAATTTGAGTGTTTCTTTTGCCTTAGAAAATGACTGTAGTTTTGGGTGAGAACAATTTTGTCTCTAGATTGGTGATGAAGAAGAAAACTGGGTAAGAATAAAAAGTATTTTGGTCATGGTTTTGGCTTTTATATCACAGGATAAAATAACATTCTCAATGATATCAGCATGCAAATTTTTTAGTGACGGAATTTAATCCAGTATCATCATGAATTTTAGGAGGTAATAAAGCAATGCAAAATAAACCATACACAGCCACATCACCTCCTTTATAGGTGTTGTACTTAAAAACATTAAATCCTTCTATGATTGTTTTCCTTATGTATTTGGGTACAAAACTGAAATCATTGTAAGGTTTCTTGCATCCAGAGCTTAAAAAAAAGTAAAGAACAGTTGTGATAGAATTACATTTTGTACACAAATGGCCTTCACTATCACATTATTTAACTGATTCATATCTAGTGTTGATTATATCTGTTGGAGTGTCAGTATGTTGATTGCCACCCATTTTCATTTATCGTACTAAATTCAATTCTTGTCTCTACAAATCTTGCATTTTCCATTTTTGTAGATAATTAATGTTTTCTGTAGGCTCCAAATCAAACATTTTGTCTATTTACATCTACTGAGTGCTATTTTAAACTGGTTGTGATGAATCATACATGACAGTCTTCAGGGGCTTTTAGAAAACATTGATTTTAAAGCTGTTTCTTCTAGCTTTGAAGATACCCAATAGTTTTTTAAGCATGAAATTCATTTAAATCGGTATGCTATTGATATGTAGATCAAGTACATATGTTTTTATGTTGAAACTCACTGGCTATTGTATTGCCTACTTGTGCCATTCTTTTTAAGTTCTTGTGGATGGTTTAATGTTGCTGCAAAACTATTTTTTTTAAAGATTGAAAATCACATTGAGATTCTTTTCCTTTGACATTTTTTCAGCTAACAAACTGGGTTGAGCTGTCTGTTCAGTTATAGGCTACCTTTCCATTTGAAATTATTCAAGCTACAGCTCTGACCTCATCTTTCCAAATAAATCCAAGATTACACAGATTTTGGCAACATGCCTTTATTGTTAATGTTATAAGAGCAATTATTTTAACTGTGGGTTAGGTCTGTTTGTCTGACTAAACATGTTTGTGGGGTTTTCTTGATAAATTAATTATCTGCAATTTAAAAATTTGGCTTTGTGTGCTCTTTATTTTGGCCTGTGGTGCATTCATAAAATAGAAGTCTTTGTCTAATATCTGCATGTGAATGTTAATATGATTCCAGCTCAGACTGTCTTTGGCAAATCAATGTGTTACTGTGCCAGAGAATATGAGTGTATGAGATGCATGGGTTGTGGCTCAGCTGTTTGTGGTATTCCTCCACCTACTCAGAGATCGTGGAGAATCATTTGTCTTCCATGTGTGACTGGGAACTGCCTTTAAATGCTGCCATTCGTATTCATAGTGCAGGAGCTAAAATTTCCTCAGAAGCTTTTGAAGTGTTTTATTTCCAGTATTGACAGACATATCTATTTTTCCTGTATTCTGTCATGGAAAACATGGCACAAAATGGTCTTTTCTGTGTTTCATGTGGCTGTGTAGAGAGAGGGACACTGCCTCAGTAGAGCGCTGTAGTTCATCCCTTAAGGCAGCACTGCATGTCAGGAAGACAAGGCAGTTGTCTTCATGCAATTATTTCCTGGCTATGGACAGAGAAGGAAGGGAAATCAAGAGAGAAATTACTGAAAGAAGAGACCTAAAGAGCTTATGAAGGAAGAGGCCCATTATTTTCTTTCAGAAATGGAAGCTCTTCTGGGACCTTTTTGATTAACAGTACAGAAACATAAAGATGTCAAGATTAAATTGTGTTTTGTGGCTGTGGTGTTTGATGGAGGTTGTAATTTACAACACATTTTTGAGAAGCTCAGAGAATTAGCAATTAATCCTTCAATGCTGAAGTTTTAATCAATTATTAGTCATTTCCCCCATGTGTATGTTTTTCAGATATATTATTATCTTTTTTCTTGTGCTACCTCCTTCTGCAGTACCTTCATAATTCCTGTATGATTTTTCTGTACATGCAGTCTTCTCTCAAAGAATATGAGTCATTGCAGGAGATCATGCTAACCTATATTATCCTTGCCCCAAACTCCTATTTCTATTGTTGTGTTCTTACATTATTTGTAGTTGCAATTACTGCAATTATTGTTGTCTGTTCTGCCACGTCCTCACTGGGAGTGTCTCTGTGGGAATCTCCAGGGCCTTTGAGCAAGGGCAGTTAGGCCACTGCGTGTGGCCTCAGTCTTATCCCACTGCTTTTTCAACTGGTACTTTTGCTGACCTGAGAGGTCAGAGACTGCTCACACAGATTTTTTGTCTTATATTTTTCTTTTTTCTTAAATACTTCTCCAGGATTGTCTTTTCTACCCAGACTTAGCCCGACTTAAGCTAGTATTTTATCCCAGCACGGACTCTTTGCAGAAATTAACATAACGTGGTCTATAAATGCATATTTTCCTACTCAGATTTTCACCATTGTCTGTGCTGCCAATAACAAATGTTCTGCTGTGGTTTTATTGCCTGTCCTTTTCAATCATACCCAGTGGTTCTGCATTGAGATAATTCTCCAGAATTTGAGAGGAGGAGGACAACATTACTTAATATTTGCTACTATTTGTGGAAGACTTTTTTTTTTTTTTTACTTTCAGCACTTTTAAGTTTCCAGAATATGCCCTATTTAGGGTTACTGGCAACTAGGATTTTCCTCTCTGTTCTGTCTTATCAGGATTAACCTTTAACAGTGAAGGTAATGCTTAAGATATTTCTAGGAACAGGGATGAGTCAGATACTGTTTTTGGAGGATATTGTGGAAGAAATGGCTAAATTACCCAGTTTGTCAGCAAAGCACCATTAAATATATTCATATCTGAATAATGGAGGACATAATAGAATGCAAATAATAATGGAATGTGTTTGCTTTGAGATTCTTCGGCATTCCTACCACCCTTAACATCTCCTGATTTTTTTCCTTTATGTTGTTCTTTTATTTCATGTTAGCACTAAAGCACTGAGTGCTTTGTCTTGTAGAACAAAATGAGCCACCTTTGGGACTTGTGGTTAAAGCACCAGAGGAATGCAAAAACACCATAGTTGTCTCCAGATCTTTAAAGGAGGAAAGTTTCTCCATGGAGTCTCCCAGAACTTCTTCCCTGACAATCAAGAGAAATTTAAAGTTTTGGCCCTGAATTTCTACTCTGCACATACACATTTCTTAGTGATCTAAGTATATTATGCAGCAAGGAATTTTATCTTTAGAGATCTCATCTATTTAGCTGAGGCACTTGTACTCCCCTGCTACTGTAGTGTTAGAATGATCACAGGTTTTAATCAATGAGTATTCACATAGATAGTTGTTTAACAGCATGTTCTGTAATGTGCATTTTACAAATGAGCTGAGAGAAGAGTGAACTTAGAGAACGTCCCACACTTCTGAGCTATCAAAACCATACTTACCTTCAGTTTGGGTGGGCACTGATGTGCTGGATGCAGAGCACAGCATCCTTCACGTGATCTTTATCACCTAGAAGTGATGGCATGTAATCTGTGTCAAAATGATACAACAACCTAAAATTCATCCTAGAAAGATTTCAGCTCTGCTTGCCTCAAAAACCAAGCAAGGCAATTTTTGTGGAGCTGGATCTTGGGAACCAACCATAAATTGGCTACTTTTCTTTCAGGGCACTCAGGTATGGTAGAGGCAGAGGCTCAGTTATTCATTCAAGACTGAGGAGGAACACTGGGAAATCAGCAAGTGAAACCCACCTTCTGTGTTTGAATCCTAATTAGTATAACAGCTGCTGTTCTTTTTCTAGAATTGTATTTAAGGTTAGTCTTCAGTTTGGTTTTTTGGTCTACAATAAAACAACAGGTAGTCAATATAAAAATCTTAGAAACATTTTCTGGGAATATTTCAGGAAACTGATAGATACAAAGAACTGTCAATACATTCAAGGAAAATGGGTCTTGGTCACAATCCTGCAGTTATTTCTGTGTGAACATAAACTGTGTTCATACATAAGACAACTTCTTCCAACCATATTATGTACATTTGTGTCTATCGATTTGCCAAAGTATTTCACAAGAGTGTCCAGAACAAATTGTCAAAAACAATTATTAGATGAAGGATGCTGTTGAACTAATGTCATTCTGTAGTTATTTTTGGCAATATACAGACATCTGTGTAGGCAGATAGTCCTACAAACCAACAGAACAATTAGAACAAATGTAAACAGCATGTTTTTCTTTCTCAAAGTATCAGATATTTAAACCTACTAAGGGAAAGTTTTCCCTTACTAGCCTATCACAGTGACAATTACACCGTGCTTCTTTACTGTCTGAACTGTTTGCTCCTTGTGTCGTTCCCATTCCTCGTCATCTTTGTCCAGATCAAAAGTTTCTGGATAAACAGGAAGCTTGTCTTTTGGACATTCCTCATAATAACTTCGAACATATTTTCCAACAGACCATCCTTTGTATTCCTCAGGCATTTTGCATTCTAGGCCATTGTAGTGAACATTGTAGTGATGCTTCAGCCAGTAGAAAAGATAATGTATGTTGTAATCACATCTCCAAGGATTCTCTCTCAGCCACAGTATTTTCAGAAAGTAAAGATCTTCCAGTACTCCATATTCAAAATTCTGCAAACTGTTGTTTGATAGATCCAGCTCTTCTAAATTATTGAGGCCTGAAAAAGCAGCTAATCAATAGAAATAGTTATTGGTACCTTATAAAGTTAACTTAGAAAAAAACATTCATATCTAGAAGAGGAAAAACATTTTTATAATTTTACAGCTACTGGGTTTTTTTGTTTTATTTTGGCTAGAGGCTATAAAAGGATTTGTCAAACATTGAATTTTAAAATATGGCTCATGCCTTCAGAAGTGAAATATTAGGGGAGTTGCACTGCTGGCAAAGCTATAAAACACTTCATGAGTCTGCCTGAGTGTAGAATAGAGACAGTGGAGATGGATGAATGCCTGATTTGCTCATTGAATCCTACTGTTATTGTCATGATACAGGAGTAGGAATATGGAAACTTACTATCACACAATGTGCAGGGCCAGAGGTTTTTGTGTGTGTATAGGTATTTGTGTGCATGAATAGAACCTTCAAATTAATGTTTTAAGATTTGGAATGGAGTAAACAAGGAGCTTCATAATAGTGTTTGTGAGTTACATTTCAGAGAGCAGTTCATATTTTTTGCATGGATGCTGTTTCATTTAATAGCAAAAGTCTTAATTTAAATAAATCAACTGTGTAATGTTAAACCTCACAAGTACCATTTTACTGTTATTAACATTTCTGATGCTGTTTAATTGGCATGATGGTACTAGATAAGGCCCTTTTTGCTTGATACATCTCCTCTCTCTTTCTCTCACCCAGTTTTGTAATTAAATCCAAATGAACAGAGGCTATAAGCAAATTGCCAATAAGGATACTTGAGTCCTAATAAAGTATAACTTAAAAGCAATTCTATGTAGTGATTTTTAACCAAAAAGTGTTTAAATCCTTTAGGTTTGTCTGTTATTTTATCATACAATATAATTGAAAAGTAGCCTCCTTATATGTAATGTTTTCTTAGATGTGGCAAAGATATTTTAAAAATCATTGAACTACTTAGCATTTTGGAAAACTGTTAGCCTTCAGGTTCCAGAATTACCTTTTGCACTTGGTGAGTTTAGTATTTAGAAAGAGCAACTTAAATGTGTCTTTCTCTATTGATTTTCATGATGAATATATTTCAGTGCAAACCTTTACTCTATGAATTGAAATGTACAAAATGTAAAATTTGTACCAACCTCTAGATTTTTATATCCTTCCCTCCTCCATCCAGTTTATATCTGATAGAGACAGTATTTAATAGGAGAGAAATAATTTTAAATGAGTATTTAAAATAATTCTTACCAGGATCAATGTATGCTAGTCCATTACTGTTTAGATTTAATATCTTCAGTTCACTGACATCTTCAAACTCCTTGGCTCGTAGCTGTCTAATTTTGTTGTTGGACAAATCAAGTTTAGCTATATCTGGAGGTATGTTGCCTGGAACTTTCTTTAAATCTTAAAAAATGAAAAAGACACAACTTGTATCAGCTTTAGATTATTCTTACTGCTTAGGCATGCCAGACAGAGTATTGTCAGTCTAATAGTTTTCTTTCCCTTTTATCCCCTCTACTAGTGCCACCATGTTTTTTCAACTTCTGAATTTCATTCTTTCTTTACTTGTACTTTTACGTTTCATGTGAAGATTGTACTCTTCATTAGTGCATATAGTAGAACTAGACCACTCACATAGGAATAGGGTAAGTAGTACCTTATTTTATACTAATATATTACTATATATTTATATTTATACTAATACAAAAAAATATGTGTGAAGAGCTTGATTGCTTAAAAAAAAGAAACCAGAGTAACTATATAAAACACCACCCAGGCAGCAGAGTGGCATTTTGTCTGCTTCTCTCTCCCACTTCTATCACTGGCAGCTGCAAAGTAGCCAAGGACCTCTCAGTCATTGGTGTCTGTATCCTTACAGTCTCTCCTGCAAAAGAACTCCAGAAAGAGCAGCTCCTGCTCCAGTAGTAAGGGCCCATGCTTGAGAAGTGCAGCCTGTGGTCTGAACCCTCTCAGGGTAATGTTAACAAACCTAATCTCCAGGATTATTATATTTGCTCAATGAGTGTTCTAATCCTGCGCTGTCATAACAAGAAAATGAGCACTGTCTCTTCTCTGACCATCTTTGAATGAAGGCAAGTCGTTTCTGGATCTGTGCTGGGCTCTGTGTGGTACTTCTGAAGTTCTGAAGATATCTAATGACTCAGGTACTTTTGAGAAGAGACTGCAGCAACATACCAGAGTCTTCCTGCCTTATATCTGATTATGAGCAGAGCTGTGGTATTATAAATACATAAATATTATAACTACTCCAGCCTGCAGTGGTTGGATTGCTTCCTGCTTCCGCAGATGTCAAAGTTTCAGGGCCTATTTATCACCAAATGAATGCAAATAGTGCTTGAATTTAGAGACTTGGAGAGTTTGGAAGTACTAGAAAGCAGACTCTTTTTTCAACTGTCCTTGAAAATCCAAGTTCTTGGTAGAAATGCAAACAAACAGCTTTTGCTTCCTTACATTTTTGGCTTTTTTAGGGTGTTCCAGTTTTTTTTGTGGTTTTTTTTTTTTTTTTGTAAACAGAATCAAGGACATAGAGTATTTCATTCTGGAATCCCACAAGGTCTGGCATATCACTGGTCTGATGAGATATAAGCAAATTATTTTTTTAAAAAAGGGAACATGCACATGGATAAATATATTTTTAAGATGTTTCTTTCATGAGGTTTCTGGCATTAATTGAAAGTTCCTGACCTGTTGTGCTACCACTTTAGACATAGTAGTGGTAGAGCAAGTGCTTGTCATTCCATTCCTTCCATTGTAAAGGAATAACGGATTGCAGCTTTTCATGTCATCTTACTGGTTTGTTAACTGATGCACTATTTTTTTTCTATTTTGAATTCTTGTCCACACAGATTAGAGACATTTTTGTGCTTTCCCTGGATTTTGTGTGCATTACTCTATTATTTGTGATGAAAATTCCAGTGAAATTGTGCATCTGCTGTACAAAATTCATATACAAAGACAGTAAGTACAATGCTTTCATCAAAGATTGCCATATGTTCAGAAATACCAAATATCCATGGGATATCTGCATCCAGCTGTCAAACATATGCACAGTAGATGTAGTACTTCCAAACAGTATTGAAACATACTCAGTGTCCATGCAAGGCATGCAGGAAGTTCTGGATTGACATAATTAGTTCTTGACCTTAAGAAGGGAGTCCCTGTATCCTCTAGTACTATTGTGTAAATGTTAAAATAACTTTATTCCTCCATTATTAATATTAAAGACAATAAACCATGCTTTCAAATACCATAAACCTCTTTGAAACTCCCATGAAGATCAAATCACATTGAATGTTTCTATGAACTTAGAGAAAAAAAAGTGAAATTTTTTTCCCTAGAGGTTTTTGGGTGTATTTGTGTATTCAGCTCATCTCTTTGATACCACTAAGAGGGGAGATCTGTAAAGTCTTTCCTTATAATAAAATTGTAATTTATGCCTGGGCTTTATTCTATAACAGTTTACTGAATACTAAGAGTGATATGAATTAAGATTCTATGAAGGATAATTAAGATAACAGTCTATAATCTAAAAATTAAGATCTTATCTACAAGGAAAGGTAAGATAGGTGAATATTAAAAAATAATAAGAGCAGCACAAATAATTAATTAAAAGATGTAGTAGCTTCATGGTAAAAGAAAGAGAAAATTGAGCCAGATAGACAAGAAAAGAATTTACAGGGTGAAATAAAAATAAAGAACACAGACCATTTTTATGACATACAGAGTAGATAAGCCATGTAATCAAATACTGAAATCATTAATCCTTGATATTTAGATATTATCTCCTTATACTGAATTCTGAGCTTTTCTCTGGCATAAAGGTACAAGAGTAAGGGCACACTGACGTTTTTACATAAAATCAAGTTACTCTTCAGGCTGATAGAATTTCAGCTGAATAAAATATGCAGGCTAAGCTCTGCTAAAATTGGGGGAAAGGTCTCACAATGTTGGCTGCTTCAAGCAATGCTTCTTTCAGAATTGTTATGTTAAAGAATTATTCTCCTCTGAATTGTTGGGGTTTTTTTTGTTTGTTTGCTTTGTTTTGTTGTGGGATAAAATATGGGAAATATAAAGGACAAATAAATGTGCATTTTCGTGTTGATATATACCCCATCTGGTTTACCCTCAGGGCTTAACTGTGGCTCTTAGGAGCCTGAGAAAGATTTAGAGATGGAATGGATCCAAGTGTCTGAAAAACATTTCTTGAAGTCCCTTCAACTTTGAATTGTTTGCTGGGTGCTGGGAGGAAGAATACAGAGGAGGTATTTCTTTATGAACAAAAACATTCAATTTCTTCCCTTAGTAGAAGAAATCTTGTGCAGCAAATGTGAGGATGCAAAGCCTTTCCTTTGCAATCAGGTTCCTCTGGGCATTGAAAACACAGCTGGCTGCTCCAGTCCTGCTTCACAGCTCCCTTCTGTCAAAGTTATTGCTATCTTTGTGTTTGTACAATGGAAGGAAGAAAATACACTCTGTGCTTGTCTGTATCAGTTCAACAGTTTCAGCAGAGCTGTTATCTGACTGATTAGTATGTTTATAGTTGTACAATCAGACTAGTTACTTAAGTAATATGCTTTTATCCCTGTTGATTTCTGTCAGATACATTACAGCACTAAGGAATATCTGTGGAATTTGGGCTGCAGAGCAGAGTTAAAATGCAGGAAGAATTCCTGCTTATTGCTGATAGTTGTAAGAGAAAAACAATAAACAATTTCAGTTTAAGCAAAGGGAGTACTATACTGAGTTCATTTGAAGAAAATAATGTGCAAATAAATGTAGAAAGGATTAAATAAACAGAATATTAAAATCATTCATTCAGTTATAGTGACAGATACAAACCTTTTCTTCTGCAGTTCAGAGTTGTCACAGGAAACACATACATGTGGCACAAAGAGGAATCAAATTCTGGTTTGGCAGGTTCAGGCTTCTCCCGTTTTATGTTTTTGGGATCCTGCCTGTCCTCTTCACTACATAGCTGATCAGCTTTTACCTGCTTTAACTTCTGATTTTTCAGTTCTATTGGGTGCACACATTTGGCATAATTTCCCAAATTCCTGTTTGTTGGAACCTGTAGCATTGTAACAAGAGTTTCTAGTTCACAGCTGCAATGCCAGGGATTGTCATAGAGACGAAGGTAGTTTAGATTGGGTGTATAAATAAAAATCTCTTCAGATAAAATCTTAATTTGGTTATGCTGAAGTAAGAGTGTGGTAAGTTTATCCAAACCATAAAAAGCCTCGCTCTCAATTTTTGATATGTCATTCTGTTGTAAATCCAGACTTTTCAGCACTTTATACTTAGAAAACATATTATTCTTTAGTTTACGAATTCTGTTTCTTGCTAGCAGCATGTGTTTTATATCTTCTGGCCAATCAGGTGCCACAAAAACCAATTTTCTTTCCTGACAGTCTAAGTATTTCTCATGAAGGTAAGTGTAAATATCACATGGTAGGTCTCGGGCATTGCGCTTAACAGTGCTAGATGCTCTCCTTAAGATGTTTCCCCTTTCATTGTTTCTCACACTCCTATTCCTTGTCCTCCTACAGTCAGATGCCTTACAAAGAAGAAATAGTAATACAATAGTAACTACTTGCATCCTGACATTCAGCTGCCCCCAGTTCTTTTCTGACAGCTGGAACACTTGAAATTTTTGGATAGTGCGAATCAGTGTTGTACAGATCTGAGGAGGCACAGCTGGGGTGTGTGGGATCCCTGTGTTGGAAGAAAAGTAAAGCATTAGAACAGATGAAATGGGCATTTCCATGGAGGAGTGTATATAATATGCAGTCAAGTACTCGATCATCACACTACTTGGAACTTCACAATTACTTTGAAGATTTAATGTCCTATCTGTTTTGGTTAGTTTGTTAGTTTTTACTTATGCTGGTCTGCTGTTTTTCATTATGATTAAACATGGGAAACTATAAGGACGAATTTCTCACTGATTTTTGTTAAGAGATTCTCATGTGTTCAGGAAACACCATCAGGGTGGACCTTTTTTGTATTCAAGTTAATCTTGGAAGGTGAGCTCAAACAAGGAGTTTGAAGCTGGTCTTTTCCAACTTCCTGAGTTCTGAACAACTGGAACACATGCAGATTCAAACCAGGGAAAGCCATCAGACTGCCAGTTTTAGTTTGTGCTCAAGGGTGGGCTTGTTTCCAAATCATTTTCTCAGGATTGTTTACCCCAATTTTTGGGGTTTTGTGCTTTCATCTCAGTAATGTGCTGTGACCATGGTTCAGGGTATTGGCCCAGATAGATTGAACCTGTATGAGGAATTCTTACATTTATGTCATACAGTGAGGATTTGAACTGTTCACCTTTCATATGAGAGTTTTTTGGCTTGGTTGGGTTTGAGTTTTTTTGGTTGGTTGGTTTTTCGGGGTTTTTTTTGTGTGTGTGTTTTTGTGTTTTTTGTTTTTGTTTTTGTTTTTTTTTAATTTTGTTTCGGGTTTGGAGTTTGTTTTTTCATTTTGGGTGTTTTAGGTGAATTAAAAAATTTGCAAGACTTAAATATCTGTGAATGCCAGGGATTAAATATAAAAACTACAAACTCTTTCTACAAACTCTAATTTATACCAAGAAGAAAGATTTTTTCAATTGCTGTGGTTATTTGGGTTACAAATCTTCCTGATAAAAAGTAGAGACTTGTGTCCTTAAGTACTTTAAAAATGGAGTTTGGTAGGATTCAGAGATAATCCATGAAGTTCTCACTGGTTTTCTACACTACCAGGGCAAAATGATATATTCAATCTCAATTAATTTTGATAAACAGGCTTCAAAACTTCACCAGTCTGGGAGGAGGGTTTTGTTGTTATTATAAGCTTAGAGTTATCAACACTACCTTTTAATCCTGTATTGTTTACAAATTCCTTTATTCCTTCAGTAGCCACAGGGGCTCTACAAATGTCTCACTAAATTCTTGATATTTTAAAGAGGTTTTATTTTAAATGTGTCTAAGAATTCAATCACCATTGTGTATTTGTCCATTTTTTTCTCGGTTTAACATTTTAAATTTTAGCTTGCTTCCATTAATTTTCTTTAATGTTTTTTCATTGCTTTTCCTTTATGGAAAAACAATATTTGACTTTGCTTTAATTAATGATTTCTTAGAAAAGGCATTGTTATAGGCAAATTTTTCTCATAATAAATTAATCTAAGAATAACATTAATATATTGTTCAGAAATTATGTTTCTTAATATATTCATGAATTTATAGGCTATTTCTAGTGTAAAGTATGTAAAAGAAATATTTGTCACTTTTTAGTGAAGTGTATATCCAGTGTTCTAGCCCAGAAACACCAATATTTTCACACAAGCTTTTGAAAATTACCATAGGTAAAATACAGCTTAAGAACTTCAAACAAAAATTGTTTAGGATAGTCAAGTTAGTGATGCAAGGGCTGCTTTTCTCCCCTTATCAATAGCTCTAGTAATTTCATCATAGAAAACTCAAATTAGTGAGGAATGCTTTGCCTTTGATAGACTCATGCTGGCTGTTTGCTGTCTTTTTTTTATCCTTTGTGTGCTTGGACAGAGCTTCATGGAGGATTTGCTACATAACCTCCCAGGGACTCAATTGGAGCTGACTGGCCTGTAGTTTCTTGGAGCTTCTTCCACTTCCTGAAAATGGAAGTGACATCTCCTATCTTCCAGTCATTAGGAATCTCCTCTGACTGTCATGACCTTTCAAAAATGAGCGAGGCCTCTCAATGACAAGAGACAGCTTTCTTCCTCTTGGATGCACCCTGTCTCATCCCATTTCCTCAGGTGCTCCCTGACATTAACTTCTTCTACAAAGGGTATTGCTTCACTCTCACAGACTCTGCTCACAGGCTCCAGCCAGGCACCTGGGAAGCCTTCAGACAGGCCTTAGCTGTAAAAACTGGGGCTAAAAAGTAATGGAGTAGCTTGTCCTTGAAGATTAACCAGATTTCCTTAGCCCCTTTGCCCTCCAGGGCTGTCTACTGTGAGATCCTGTTAAACAGATCCCTAAACTAGCCAAAATCTACTAACTTGTCCAATTTTCTTCTGTCTGGATTATGAACTTCTCATTTTCTCATTTTCGTGGCTGCAGTAACAAAAGCCATTCAAGTTCATTCAAGCTGACATTCACTCAAGCTCACATTCCTTCACCTGTTCAAGAACACTTTCCCTAGACCACTTGTCAGCCAGCTGGATCAAGAAACTGCCTTCAACACACTCTAGAAGTCTCCTGGATTGTTCATGCCCAGCCATATTTTCTGGCAGCATATGGGACTGGCTGAAGTCTCTCATGAGTAACCAGGATAGGCAAGAGTAAAGCTTCCTTCAGCTGCCCAAAGGTTTCATCCACCATCTCATCTCGATGAAGCAGTCTGCAGCAGATCCCCACCACAATGCAATGCTCATAGGTCTGGCTTCTAATCATTACAAATAAGTTCTTAGTTGACTTTTTTTTCCCCACCCATTTCAGTGCAAAGCTCAGGCATGATTTTGCATATGTGCAGCTCATCCTCAGCTTTCTGGGCTGTCATTCCTAAATATTCTGGAAGCTTTCATTGCACCCCTTCAGTTGCATGTGCTATCTCTGTGCATCTCTGGAGTCCCAGTGAAATCACAGCTCTGTATCAGTGCATGGATTTTGGTCCCTGCTGGTTGATTCCCAAGCTACAAGTGTTTGTGTTCAGACACTTAAAACAGACCCCTTTGTGCTGCTTTTGCATGCAAGGTTTCAGAGATTTTCCTCATCACTATTTCCCCCAGTTTTCTCACCACTCCTTGTGTCTTCACTCCTTACAGGTTGTGGTTATCTTCCACCTACATACCTGTTTTTACTGATATATCTCCTCTCTCAAATCCTTTGTTGCAGGAATGGATTTCAAAAGCACAAAATTTCCTCTTTAGGATTGGCTGGTATTGAATTTCAGTTATCTGGATTTTGCCTGATAACTGAAATAGGGAAAAGGTGATCACAACATGGAAAAAGACACAGTTTCAACTATTACATTTTCATGTACAAGTACTGACTTTTTGTCTTTGCATTATATTGGCATTCATTGTGAAACACTTATCATGCTAGGAGATTTGTTCCTATTATATAAGAATGGAACAATATGAGTAGTACCTGTTCTGCAGGTCAATAAAATATGGAAGCCTTATAATTGCTCAAGTTTAATGTTCCAGAAGGCAGAACTAAACAGGAAGCATTGTGTAAATTATATTCTATTAAATTCTATTACTGGTTAGAGAAATATACCAGAATTCTTTGAGAAAATTCACCAATGGTTTTAGGTATCAGAATTGGCTTACAGTAATCTTGGTTTAGCAAAATGTGTTAACATATGCTAACCTTCAATCAAGTGATAAGTCCCTTGTGCTCTGTAGGACTTTATAGTGTAGGTATCCTTTAAAAGGACAAAATGACCATACTTCAAGGTAATAACAGTAGCATCACATCTGTCAGTATTCTATTTTGAGGTCTCCAAAGAAATTTTTTCCCTTATACATATACATGCAAATATAATTTTAATATACTTCTGGGTATTTTTTGTTATTCAGCCAGTTTAAGTCTGGCTGAATCTGTTGTACAGAGATAGAACTGTTTAAATAAAATCTGTTGTATAGAGATAGTGCTATTTAAATAAAATCTGTTGAAGAGAGATAGTACTAAAGGAACTCTATGACTATTAACAAGGTAAATTACGAAGAAATATGAAACTGTTTGTTTTAATCTTGCAGGAAATTCAGAGGCATGTGTAATAGAAATAGTCTCTTTTGAGTTATTTATAGGATTCTATTCTACTGTACAAAATGAAATAAATACCCCACAGATTTCATTTATATAGCAGTTCTTTTATCTTTTTAGTATATCTAAAGATATATGCTATATTATTTTATGTATTGCACAGTTTCACAAAACTTTTAAAAGAAAATGCTATCCAAAAATTTCATGTGCATGTCCAGTTCCTCATGATGATGCAAGGAGTTTGGAAGTTAGATATGTTGATAAAAAATTATTTTTGAAAGAGAGGATTGTGCCTAGGTGCATTGTGTGAGCCAAGGTCTTGTGTGACAATTGCAAAAGAAAGAGTTATTCCAAACTGATATTTGGAAGCTCAGTGAGCTCAAGGCAGAGAACTCAACAGTCTTTAAAAAGTCTGCCATTCTTATTTCAGAGTTATCCCTAGAGACTCAAGGTCTGCCTGGCAGGTAGAATTGCTGGATTAAAAGCTGCCATGGAAGTAATGAGGTGAGTTGTTCACAAGAGCAGTCATCACAAAGATGTATGTGGGTTTGAAAAATAGCTGTACGTTATTTCTTTCTCCTGTGAGGAAAAACAAATATATGTCTTTCAATAACATCCTCATGAAGTTCAGAAACATGTTTTTCTTTGGCATTTGCATAATACATTTAGACTTTTGTTTTTCTTTTTCTGAAATGCCATACACTCAAATAACTAATATTTGTTTTGGCAAAGTTTTGCATTAGTGTCTCCAATTCTACCACTCATCTCATCAGTATTACTTTTATTATAATCTATGTTTTTCCATGTTGGCTGATATTTTGTGTTTTTAGATTTCCATATGCTTATGCTGAAGTTTGGAACATAATTTTTTTGAAGTGTAAATAGCAAATAAAAATTCTCCACTGACAAAAGACCTTTTGCAGTTATCTTGTACCTTGTTACTATGAAAGTTTTCCATTCACACATTATGTTTCTGATTAAAAACCATGAGATTACACTCTTTGTAATAATAATTTTGAGACAAAACGCAAAGCTCATTGTTTCTGATATTATGGGGATGTACAAAAAGCTGCTGTCTGTGAAGAATTTGATAGCAGACAGATTTTATGAACATTTCACATGGCAATCCTAAAACATTAGCTAAGCACAGGTTCTGTGTACTGTGGTAACTAACACAAAGTGCTTAGAGGTGGCAGTATTGCATTTCATAATGCTGCATGTGAAGTTTGCTGTGGTGAATCAGACATCCTTTATTGGAACAAGGGGCTGGGGAAGTGTAGGGGTCATTTTTTATTCTCTAATAATATTCCATACAAGCATTATAGTCTCCATATTGCACAAAAGAGATAGTCAAAATTTCCCTCTGAAAACTTCTGTCACTTCTGTAGCCATGAGGAATAAATGTCAGGAGGTGAGTTTGTCAGATTGCTTTAAAACAATGATCCTGAGACTGCAAATGTCAAAATGAATTGAAAAACTGGTATGACAGAATTCCTGCAGAATTTAGCTGTAACACAAAACAAGGATTTTTGGTAATTTGTGTGCTCCTTGAGTTTAAGGAAGATATCACTTTAAAAATGAAAAAAGAAGGCATGTGTTAAAATTCTCAGATCATTAAAAATTGGTCATATGACCAGTAAAGGAAATCAGTATCTCTTCAAGGTTATTGTGAGGTTTTGACCACAGTCTTCAAAATACAGCAAGAAATGCTTACCTGTATCTTAAATTGTGCAGCCTTGCAGCAACATGTACATTAAAAAGACTGAGAGCTACCAGAGCTACCAGACCCCAGTCTCTCAATTTATTATTTATTTTATCAGATATATTTGGGAGTATACTCTCCAAATGAGTATCCCACTCATTTCTGTGGGATATCACACTAAAATGCAAAATAGCTCTGCCTTCTACAAAGAAGGATACTTTTACTTTTGTACTTAATATGAATTAAGCATTTCCATTTTTAAAAAAGGCACCACAAATAACACATGCCTTTATATTCTAATATCTGGGTCTAATGCACATTGTTGGGTTTTTTTCATGAAAAGTAATCTTATTTTTTTAATAGTTTTGTATTTTTTTTTTTACAAGGGCATTCTTTTTATACTTCCTCTTTGCATTTGTGTTCAGCCTGTATTGAAAGCATAAAGTCAATTCCAAAAGTAAAGTAAATTCCTACTCTATATTGAAAGCATAAAGTCAATTCCAAAAGTCAGTATGCCACTCCTTAGGCAGTCAGCTCCTCAGTGGGAGTTCCCATCTTCAAAATGCCTAATTTTGCTGACTTGCAAAACTGCATGACTACGACTAAATGTCTACCAGAGCAGAAGGTCCTAATTCTAGGTTTTGATTTTCTGTATGCTTTCATTTGTGGTGCTTGTGGTAATTGTTATTTTTTCCAGTTGGGAATATCATTCAGTCAAATGAATAGTTTTCAGTAGGATATAAACCTGCAGCTCAAAATTTAAGTAATTTCAGAGTATAGATTCTTGATTTTACAGAGTGCTGTTGATTAACATTTTCCACTTAGACTATTTGCTTTCTCTTAATCAATGTTTAGTATAAAGAAATGTTTTCCAAAAGAACTGATCAAAACCTAAAATTGCATTACTCACTTTTGTAACTGTAACTCTTTCAATTTTTCAGATTCTTTTAATAGTACTCTTCTAAATAATTATACTACTTGAGAAGTTTAAGCTACACATTTCTGCTTTTAGTATCTTTTGATAGAAGTCTGGTTTTCATTTCCAGCAGGCACTGCTTGTAAAATCAATTGCAAAAGCAGTCCAACAAAGTTACACTGAAAAGTCATACTTGCAAAATATGCACAAAGTTCCAACTGCTTTTGCCGTTGCTTAAGATAATTTTACAATGTTACTGGATTCATATGGTGAAATATCTTGCATGATAGTGCTATTCCCCACTAATCTGCAATACAAGAGCAGGGAAAAACTGCAGCAGAAGAAATGGGCTTTCAGACTTCAGCAAGTAGATAATTCTATTTCATATTGAACATCTTTTCTTTACAGTAATTTTCAGAAAACTTTAACTATGACATTTTATGTTCTTTTGATTCTGTATCATGCACTTGTAACAAATTACTCTGCTGTTTTTCGTGGGGTTTTTTGCAAAGCTTCCCCAGTTTGGAAACCAAATTAGTTTGGTTCGCTGCAGAAAATTCACAGACAAAGGTTTACCATACCTGCACTCTTGCAAAGGCTGTCACAAGATCATCTGTTTGGAAATTCCAGGTTGCGTTCAGGTTTGTAGTTCACGTCTTTCTTTCATAATGTGAAGCAGAGGATCCTTTATATGACTGGCAGCATCCTGCATTCATGGTATACTGAGGTTGAGCAAGCACTGCAGCAGCCTTCCAGGGTTTTGAATTACATGACTACAGCTGTTTAAGTTTTACTAAGGAATAATAGCACTATAGGTTTGGATCACTTCCAGCAAACTGTCACATCTATAAACAGCTAGTACTTACTGCATAATGAGAACAAGGCTTGCTTTTTGTAGCCATAAATAGACTAATTTTATGTCATGATTAGTTGGGGGTTTATATCTGGAGCTTTAAAAATGCAGTTTTTACTAAGATATCAAAAAAAAAAAAATAAAAACCACTCTGTGCTGGAAAAAAATACAAATTTACAGTTGATTTCCTGAGAAGGAAGTTAATTAAAAAGTGAACTTTTGTTGCAGTTTTACATTGGTTTAGTATATAAATTGAAGTCATATTTATTACTGCAATCTAAAAATAGTTTTATTTTGGATTACTTTAGTATCCTAATAAACTTGTAAAAAAACAAAGGTTTTAGAATACAGTACTATTTTAGAAACTTTCAAATATATACTGTATCTTGAAATATATTCCAAAAGCAATATGAAATGCCAAATTGTAAGAAAATTAAATTCTCCTAATGTTTAAGTAAAGACTCACACATTAATTTCTTTATAAATTGAGAAGATTCTCCATATAATAAAATACATGTGAAATAGCAGAGATGGAGTCTGAGGAATATGACAGTTTAACTTTCCATCTAACAAAACCTTTTCAGAACAAAGGATGAGGCAGATGGGGCAACAGTCTTGTTCTGATTTCTCTTTACCAGGCATCTGTTTCTTGTTCATGAGAATCCTGCTGAGATTGTTGTGCACTGACAGGGTGAAATTTGAAATGAGGGCTGAGGTTAGAGGAAAGTTAAGAACTACCTACCTCTGAGTAACTTTTTCAAAGTGCCAGTAATTTGCTCTGTTTTCTGAAAGCATCATTCCTGCTTGCATAGAAGTGTCATCATGAGCTGTAGGGATGTGCCTCTAGAAAGCATGATCTAATCGTGCTCAGGGAGAAGTGATCAGCATCAAACAGGGAAAACCACAATCCTCCCTACCAAAGGACAGTGGGTTTGCTTGCCAGTGCTTTTGAGAGCCCTGAAAGGAATTCCACAGCTTTCTCCATTTTTGGATTCTGGAACAGTGCTTAATGGTTATGACCAAGTACTTAAGTGAACAGTTAAAACCAAAAAAAACATCACATTGCATCACAGTTGGATAAAGGATTTTAAAAATATTTTTTTCCACCTCACTGGATGAATGAAACCAAAGGGAAATTTTGTAAGGCTAACATTTCAGAAGTAGTTGGAAAACTGTAGAGGAGTTATACTATTAACATGGAAATTATGCTTAAAATATTCTATAGAATGTGTATTTTTAATGTTTTTTTTTAATTTTTCTTGGGTTTTTTCTTTCATTTTAACATAAAAGTTCTTTTTATATGAATTGTTTTATTTCCACTACTTCTGTAGGATTTGAATGGTTATTTAGAAAGCCCAACTGTAAAATGTGTGATTATGTTAAGGATCCTGTGAGTAGCAACTTAAAGACCAAGGCATTTAATTGGCTCACTAGAACAGGAGCAGAAAAGTGAGAATTAAGCAGACATTTTCTAGTCCATTGCTACAAAACAAGGCAATCTTTTCTTTGACTATTATGTTCATACAGGGCAACAATACTGGATAGATTGTAGGCATGGGGGGTTTTACATAAAGTCATGGTAATTAAAGTTTTATCTGTATGGCATAGGCAGTAAATATTTTTGTTAATGAGCTTCAACGTATTTTCCTAAAAATATAGAGATTCTCTTGTGTCTTGTTCAGAAGGTACCCCACAATACCATTGACATTCTCAGAGTCCCACCTAGAAAGCATAAGATCTGTTTGTTCTCCTCCTGAAGCTGAACAGTGTTGGTGGAAAATTTTCTGCTCTTAGACACAAAACTGGAAAGACCTGAGGGTATAAAGCAATAGCCTGTCATGCCCAAAATGTGTTACAGCAGTCTGTCACTTGCTGTAGGCTACCACAGCTGGACACAAGAACACAAACCACTGGGAAAAATTAATTTGTCCCTTTCATTTCTTGACATCTGCTTTGTAGGGGTGTTGGAGAAGCCTACATGTAGACTTCACCAGTTTTCAACATCTGTTTTCCCTCTGCTCCAGCTTCATTGGGAGAATTCTCATTTTGGCAAATTCTGGCTTCTTCAATCATATCAAGGAAAGAAAAAGGGGCCATCACTTGGGGAGCACATCTGAGCTATGCTCTTTATTTATTGAAGGAGAGAATGATTGTTTACATTTCCTGAATACAAACATGTGTAACTGAAGGATACTGTAAGTTACAAATGCTCTGTTATTTATTTTAGGAAAATGCTAATTCAGGAATATGTTAATATAAGTGCTTTTTTTTTCGACAGTGGAAAACTAAAAGAAAAATAACATGTGGAGTCGAGCCATCAATGTAATGTGCCAAACATCTGAAAGGATGTCACAATTCATTTTATGATTCTTGACAGGATGAAAAAAAGATTGTCCCATGTGCCCCAGAGAGTACTTCCTCTATTCTAAATGTTGATTTTCGAATTTCAACCCTCAGTGTATTGCCAATACTGGAATCACAAAAGTGTTTCTTAAAAATCCTTTCAGTGCTGCAGACAGAGTCCTGCCTTGAAAGATGGATTCCACAAATCCAATCAGTTCTGGGAGAAAGACAGAATTGTAGTGTATGTGTAGCAAAAAAGCCAAACCTGAATAAAAACCCTGTGTACCCCTATTCTTCAGAATAAGAAACTATATAAAGGTGAAATTGAATGAACTTTGATATTCTTATAAGCATTTCATCATTTCACTGCAATTATTTTCTAAATCCCTGGGGACAGATCTTTAGCTGTGGTTTGCTCCATGTTTCTTTTTTGTTGTACTTTCATTTCAGATCCTAGTATACTATTATGCAATCAAGAAAAAAGCCCAAGACAGTAATTTACATATTAGACTGAAAACTCCTACAGACAATTAATTGTATTTTACTTCTTTGCCTAATTTTATTTACATTTATGTTTTATTTTTGCATTCACTTCTGATCTGTATATGCAAGAACAATAAGATATTTATGGAATGATTTTACTGAGTCATGCAGAAAAAGTCTGTTTTGCAGAATTTTGTGGGACCTAAGATTCAATAACCTCAATATTCTTCCTCACAATTGATTTGGTAGATGAGGTTTAAGTGGGATTTTAGTCATCTGGGGTGAGGAATACAGTATTAAACTCCATATGTATCCTAGCATTGATTCTCAGGCCAAGCTGTTCACTCTTGAGGCAATCTATTAAACACAGAAATTCCAAGTGAGCTGAGAAAGCAATTATTTTACTAAAACGTGCAAGAAATCTCACATTTCTGTACCTTATCTTCGAGAGTGCCTGAAGTTTCATAGAGAATCCACAGGGAACATAGGAAAGAAATTTAATATTTTATTGTTCTAAAAATAAAGGAAAGAGACATACATATGATTGCAGTAAGATTTAAATGTTAATTAATTTTATTTAATCTTATCTGAATGCATATTTCACACTGGAACTTTCTCAACCTGATGCCTGAGATCCATTGTCCATTTTTAAGTAAAAAACCAGTTCAAATGAAAAAGAAATTAGAAGCAATCTGTGCAATGATATTATTATTAACTGCTTCCCTATAATTTGGTTTGGCTTGCATGGAGGAAAGCACTAGATTTCTGCTGTTTCTGGTATCAAATGTCTATGTTAAGCAAACAGTGGTTTTCCAGATAGAGATTAAAAGTCCTCTAGACTGCATTTAAAATTATGCAATCCTTACTGAATTCCAGAAAAAGTCATGCTATGTCTGTCAGGATTGCTGAGTTTGATCTGATTACCTGCTACCTACCATCTCTCCTTTTGAGAATGGGAATTTCACTTTATTTTAGGCATCTAAGATAAGGTAGTGAGTATAAAATTAACTTAATATATCTATATAGAAATTAGAGAGTGGGAGAGGTCTCCAGAGGTGATTCAGACGTGTCTTGGGATCTTTGTTTCTCTTTGCTAGACAGAGATGCCAGGATTCATATTTTTCTGTCGTTGTGCTGCTTAAGAGCCAACAACCAAGAGGCCTGTTGCAGAGTTAGGTAAACTCTTGCTTTAATGACTTGGTCATGCCATGTTAAAGCAACTGGTGCTTCTTGACCAGCAGAAAGTACAGATTTCCCAATTCATCCCTCAGGTATTTACCATTAAGTTACTCCCTTTCATAGATACTGAATATTTTGGGGTGAGGAAACAAGACAGAATTATGTTTCATTGCATATACCAATAGTGAGTACAAAACAGGAATCTGAAAAACTGAGTTTCATATTCTGTCCTGACAATTAGCACACATCTTTCCCTACTGACATTTATCTTCTGATGATCACTACCAGTAGAAAAGAGGACTGATTGCCTTTGCCACATTAGCCCTACACTGTACCTTGTTCTTTTGCAATCATTTGGGGTTGGTAAACCCAATCTATCCATGCTGATGGTGAGGTCTGCAGTACTATCTGCAGATCCTCACTGATGTATTGCCCACATCAACCACATTCCCAAAAGCCACAGTGTCCTTTCGTCCAACAGACACATCTCAGTTGGACATGGTATGAGAGCCTGGAGTGCACCAACAGGCTGTACATGCTCTGACCAGCTTGTGGTTATGAGATGGTTCTTTCTTTATAATTTCTCTCTGCCACCTCCCCTGCAGCCTCAGAACAAGACTCTGCTCTTTTTCCTTCTTCATCTGCCTCTTAGACTGTATCTGTTCCTGGAGAAGCCTGATCCAGGATAACACAGCTGCATCACATCAGACCCCACCTTGACCACAGCCAGCTGTCAGAGGGATGGGACTTGATGGGATTTATATTACCATGCATGACCAGTAAAATGTTTCCTCCATTTATTTTGATAGTAGGTTTTCATTCTGTCATTTTGCAGGCTGTTACAGACCCACTGTAGAAAAGCAAATATGCTACACTTGTCCTGAACTCAAAACACAACAGATTATTTGCATCCACAGTGCTAAAAGTGCCAGTGTGTGTTATGAGCCACACCATATTGTCTGTATGCCTGTCTGTCTGTCTGTGAGATCTGCACAAACACTTTAAGTCTAAGAATACATATGACAGACACAAAGTCAGTTTCCCTCTGGGCTGGTATCCCTTTGCACAAAGAAAAATGTCCTTTAAGAAAAGATATTTAACATCAAAGTATTTAAAACAATTGACAAAGAATCTGTTTTAAAGGCCACTTCAGCCTGAAAATAAAGAGCAAGCCAACCTGGGCATAAGTTAAAAGATGAGGCATTATACCAGAAAAGAAAAGACAGTCTGCCTTGATTATAACTTAAAGACATTCACTCCATTAAAAACATCTCATGTGCAAAAGGAACCCAAATGCTTAATTTTCAGAAAGAGGAGCCAGAAACCCAAGGTGTGAATCTCCTCACTCAATGTAAGATAGAAGTAAAGCAGGCTTCATTCCAGTTTCCACTGATAAGTAGTAGTGGGGACCAGTCATGTGCTACTAATGCTAGAGACTAGAAGTGCAAGAACTGGGAGCATGTCCTCATAAAGTCATGATGATTAAAGTTTTATCCATATGGCACAGTTTAAATTAAAGTTTATCCATATGTCCACAATTAAAGTTTTATCCATATGATAAAACAATCCACCAATGTCCTGTTGGATTGTTACCATGCTGAGGTGGGATGGGTGACCAGCTGCTGCTCAGTTTCTGGCTTGCTTTTCTGTGACCATCTCCTGTCAGCTAGTGGTGTCAGACAACATTCATATCCTGAGCAAAGCCTGTGCCTCCCGCTGCTGCTCCCAGCCTGAGCAAAGCCTGTGC